TGAGGAAACTATATTCACGATGGTTGTTTTACAAACTTTTGAAAGATAACAAAACAAGCCTTCTGATAGCCTAAGATGGAGGTATTAGGGTAAGTAGAATACAATTATCCTAAATCTGAAGGGTTTTTCTACTTTGGGTCTTTGAATTCCTTCAATAATCTGTACATAATAAGGGAATTCCATTTTTCTCAAAAGCTTGAAATATCTTCACAACAAAAGCCAAAAGCGATTTTTAAGCGGTTCATTCCTCATTGCCCTGGATAATAGCAGCGCAGCTGATCCTTCCAGAAGCTGTTATAGCAAATTTTCACAGATAGAAGTGAGACCAAAGAACCTGATGATTTTTAGAAAAAGTTCAGGATGAGTGCAAGTACATACAAAGGACAGCAAACGGTTCAGTGTACAGCAGGTCGGACATTAAACAAATTTATAACAGCGCATAAATCCCTACTCATAAGCGTCCGATTAGCCACGTATCTATCCTATGCTGACGCTAATGAACTCTCTTTCTGAATGCAATCGTACAGCGTGTTATTGAAGTTCATTGCCCGATATTCAATAATGATATATCTACGTGGCACCAACAAAAAACATGCAAATGGGCCACTTTGAGAATGAGAGTAGAATAAACAGAAGGTAGAGTTTAACTGAGACTCAGACTCTAAATCGCACTAAACTCAAACTGACACTGAAGCAAACGAAAAGGTTAAAAGGATCATTTGCTGTCAGAGAAGAGAAACACAAAACCCCGGCTTATTTTATGGCCAGCTGTTCATTTCCGTCAAGCGCGTGACGAAAACATTATGATCCTCAACCATAGATTTTGTTGACAATGGAGAACAAACAAAATTCCAGTCATATTTCACGATCGGACATTTGTTTAGCACGGTAATGGATTTACATGAAATGTCTGTTTGCATGTAAAGTTTGTCTATATAAGGAATCGTGCGAATACTACCGGAATGTCATAAGTAGTAGTTACATAAACAGTCTTATTAGGAACTAGCAATAAGTTAAACTGAGACAATATTAGCACATATTCAACAACAAGAAAAGTTCAAAAAG